CTTGCTTTCCTTCTTACTATTCATTATGTTTTACATAACAATACAATAATTTATATTTTAATATATACATATACATATACACATATGTGTTTTTAATAGGTCGTTCATATAGTACTGACCTCAGCAGTCTCCTTTTCGCTGTCTAGTTAAAATTTGCATGGCCCAAGCCCTGGCAGTGCATTGGCCTCCTAAGTTGTCGCCTTGATTTCACGTGCCTCCCTGCAGTCAGTTCTGCACAATGCTATCGCGTGACCAAGTTCAGAAGCAAATGCTAAAAAAGCTGCAGTGCCCCTGCCTCTCCATCTTCCCTCCAGTCCCCACCGCCAGCCATTAAGGTCTGAAGTTTTTAGCCTGGAAGTGATGCCATCTTTAACGATTGAATGCCTACTGCAAACTGTCCTCCTCTCCAGCCCATTTTCTTTTTCTTCCCCAAGATACCTGTGCTCCTACTAAGCAATGCAAGTCACAGAACAAAATATTTTAATGTGATGCGATACAGTGTATTCTCTAGTATGTAATTTTTGTGGGAAACGTTTGGTAGTGATTTCTGTAGTAAGATGTCAGGCGTTCCTAGCATCCTCCCTATACATTTGTGCTTTGCCGTTACATACAGTTACCATACTATGTAAGCAACCAATACCTGTGTAACACAACTCCATATATGAATCCATGTCCAGATTTTTATTAAGATGACCTGTGTCTTCTAACATAGGTAATATAGTAGTCACGTTTTTTTTAAATTACAACTCATGAATTTTATCAAATGTAAAAAGCATTCAGTCATTCTCTTTAGTGCCGAATGCCCTCGTGAAAAACGTACTCGTGCTGACTTCCTTCTTGTCTCCTGGGTTTTTATCAAATGTAAAAAGCATTCAGTCATTCTTTTTAGTGCCGAAGGGCCTCGTGAAGAACGTACTCGCTGGTAGTGCAGAGATGAGAACTTGCTTTGACTGGTCGGTGTTTCTGTGGCTTTGGAAACCTCTCAGGTTAGTGTGTTTTGTGAGGAGTGTGGGACCCACCTTCTTTCCCAGGCCTTTCCTTAAAGAATGGAGGAGGACAGACGGAGCTGAGCGATTCCAGTGCGAACCTGTGCAGGCCCTGGGAG